AAAAAATGTACAAATTGCTTGCTTAATTATTTTTGCGTAGTTATTTTCTCCAGAATTGCAAAAGGTACAAAGAAATCAAATTACTAACATAATTAGTGGTAAAATTCCATATTTATTTTTTTGGGAAAAAGATTTACATTTGATTTTATTCAAATTGGAGAGAGAATGATGCAAAATCAAGTTTCTTTTTTTACTTTTTCCCTTCACCCTTCAAATTCCTAGATTCAATAGCAACCTTAAGCTTTAAGTATAGAGAAACAAAAATAAACTAACAATATCATCCATGTTGTTCATCAAAATTGACCCCAAAATCCAGAAGCACGAAATGTTTTGGTCCAATTTTTCAAATTCAGGCTTTGAAGACAGAGAAAAACAGAGGGCACCGCATCCACATCTTTACACACTTCACTAAATTAGTTCAATATAGAATGTAGCAAATGCAAACTATATACAGTGCCACAATGAAAGCATACAATTTTTAACCAAGTTTGGTTAGTACAGATATATATAATACCAACTTAGATTCCAAAACTTCTCTCTATATATACACATGACACGATAAGAACACATGAAGGTTTCAATTTTACTTAAACAGAAAAGTAAACAAAAAGGGCTGAACATATAAAGAGGAAATTACAAAAGAATAAGAAAATTACCGACAACCGACGAAAATGATGAATCCGAGACTGAAAAAGACTATAACCACTTTGAAAACCTGCAAATCCAAGAGCTCGAGGAAGGAGCTCAGGTCGAGCACTCGAAGCATGTTATCGGCGGAGAGGCTCTGCCCGAAGAGCTTGCTACCGGCGGAGAGGCACAAATCTTATAGTTTTCTGCGAGATGAAACTCGAATGTAGAAGAAACTATTTTCAGATCTAGAAAGAAGAGAGAGAAAATTCAAGGCAAGAAATGACAGAAAATGAATGGGAGCTGAGGTCGAGCGCTCGAAGCTTGCTATCGGTGGAGAGGCTGTGCGTGAAGAGCTTACTATCGGCGAAGAGGCACAAATTTTATAGTTTTCTGCGAGATGAAACTCGAATGTAGAAGAAACTATTTTCAGATCTAGAAACAAAAGAGAGAAAATTCAAGGCAAGAAATGACAGGAAGTGAACACTTTAGAAACCGGAAGACTTTATGAACTTTCCAAATTCCAACCACCTCTCTTCTCAAAAACCCCAATGGCTGAGCCGACGGCTCGGCTTCAGGGAACGGCTGGACGAAGCCGTGAAGCCACAGACTTGTGAACATTAACTCCAATGCCTCTTTTATTTTTTAGTTAGATATACACATACACGTCATAAAACAACTTTTACATCAAGCAAATAAGAGTGGAAAATATTGTAACATGCATTCATATTTATTTCAAAAATTTGTTTGATCAATCGAGGTAAGATACATAACGTGCAAGTGATTTGTTTTCTTATATTTTTATGTATTCAATTAAATATGCATGAATTACTAGTAGACGTTCGGCTTCGACCTAATAACATATGAATTTTTTTGGGCTCTTTATAACGAAATGTGAAATTTTTGGAGAATTCGAAGTGAGTACGTGATAGGTGTCTCACTTGATCACCGGTATACATCAAGTGTTTATTTTATTATTATATAATAGTGTATGAAAGTTGCGCGCATCTTACAGACATTTTTAAATGTTCACTTTTACAATAATTTACAGGTTAGTTCGAATCGATTGAAACCATAGTAGGATGGTGATGCAGATTACCAGAGAATTTGAAGAACAAAAAGCATTAAATTTTCTATTTCTCAATTGCTTAATTAGCTTCATTTATGTTAAAGAACATATTTATCTAATATCTAGTTGATTTTGTTTAATTCAAAAGCCATAATTTTCATGTTTTGGATTAAATTATGGATCATATTTATTTTTTCTACAAAGAAATATAAATTTTTTATCGTTTTTACTGTCCTCGTTTTTTATAATGGTCAAGTGAACAACAGATGTTGAACCCACTCGCGTCAACACAAGCAAATTTCAACACGTTTTGACTGAAGATTTGAATGAAAAATGACGGGTTTTATGGACGTAAGAGATGCTCTACGACCTGAGACAAAAATGTTCGAACACGGTAATATGATCAAAGGTGATTGCATAACTAACAATCACAAACAACCCAATCAAAGTGAAAATAATATAAACTCAATCAAATAAGTATGAAATAACTAAGAGAGAAGATAGAGCATTGTTTGAAGTGTAAAGAGTTGCATTAGACTCAAATGATATAAGAATTGTTTATTCATAGGGTTCTGGCTAAAGTGATAGTCGTTGGATAAGAACCACATGGTCTCATCTCCAAGTCGAAGCCTCACATCACTCAATCTTCTATGAATTTAATACATTGACAACGAGTTAGCAACCATATATCATAAACTGACAATCTTGATATTCATTATTACAAACGTTATATCAATTATTTCTAAAGATTGCCTATAGATTCTCTAAAAGACAACAAGAGTTTCAGCCAAATGGAGCTTCAGATTGGAGCGAGAGCATCAACCAAGGGAGCTTCGTATTGGAGGTCTTCAGTGTGAAGAATTTCGGGACAGAGTTTCGACTTCTACTTGAGCTTTGATTTTGAGGTGTGGGCTTCTTCTCGAGCCTCAATTTTGAGGCTCAACAGTTTTCACAATTAATGTGAATAAAATTGAAATTGAATTTGTAGTAACACTCTAGAATTTATGAAAAATTGGGGGATTACAGAATCTAACCACTCTGTGGTCTAGTACCCAACTGTTACTTGAAGTTGTTAATGATGAGGGATGAGTTACAAATTTTGCCCAATTAAATGTTTGTTACTCCTTAGTCAATCCAACATCTAGTTATACATAAAATTCTCTTATAAACGTAAATTGAAAATTAAACACCGTGAAAATGATAATTCATGCAAGTGCTCCTAAATAGGGATGGATCGGGCGGGGGCCTAGACCAGACTTTCTCTTATCAACGTAAATTGAAAATTAAAAACCGTGAAAATGATAATTCAAGCAAGTGCTCCTAAATAGGGACGGATGTGGCTGCTCGGTCCAGGCCCCAGCCCATTCAATTTTTGTAGTAGAAAAAAAATTTATGTAAATTTTTTTTTCTTGTGTAATTATATCTTTTTTACGTATTAGTCCGGTTTATAATTCGATTCTGGATCTGTTCCTGCTCTTAAATAACGTGAAGGCTAAGCTTGAAGGTAAGCTTTCAACTTGTAACGCCCCAAAATTTTTCATTCATCTTGAGGTATTACCAAAAATTATTTTCATTTACCTTTATTTACTTAAAATGCGGAA